CTTATGGAAAGCTAGATTAAAGATCCCAAATCTCTCTCACAGAGCTTGGAATATTTTCAAATAGGTCATATTTTGCCAATGTCATCATAAGAGTTATTCAAAATATATGCACAGACTGAACCTAGGGGCTGACCCTGACTCTTCAAAGGGACTCGTGACAGTGATGATTCAATAACTGACCCACTCAATTGATAATCTTTATGAGTGAAAATATGTATTAAAGAAAATATTCAGCTTATAAGAAAGTCAATTTTAATACCAGCGATTTCTAATATTCAGCTACTTTAAAAAAAGTGTTTTTTCACAAATATTGATTGACCTTTTTGGATCCCCAGAGAAGTAGGTTTGAAGCTTTATGTGTAAGCCAACATATAAATTCAAATAATTATTGATTGCTGTATGAAATAAGTTCACACATAGGTATTACTATAGTGTAATAATGTTTGTCAAGACTAAATATTCAATCTCAAGTATCTTCCACTGAAAGTCAATTGTGTTTGATTCTTCTTTTTTTTTTCTTCTAAGAAAAGGCTAAGGTCATATTAATCTTTTATTCCAGGGAGGGATGATTCAGTTGGGAGGTGGTTCAAGGTATTATATTCTTCTAAACAGGCTACCTGCCCTGAGTCAAAAGTATACCATCAACCCCCTTAGCAATTTCCTATAATGGTTTGGGATGATGGCACCTGCCTTCCCCTGGAATGCCTCACAAAACTATTGGGGTGCATACAATGTCTTTAGGATAGTTTATTTCTCTGGTACAATTATTTTCTTACAGATTTCAACTTAGTTATAGATGTATAGATTAAAATCTCAGTTTGATATAGGCAATAATGAAGAAACTTTATACATATATTTATGTATATATATATATATATTTTTTTTTTTTTACAAGAGCTGGGGTACAGGCCAGAGGTGTAGGGGGTGAAAGGATTCACCAGAGACAGAGTGGGGAACAGACCAGGCAGACTGACTGAAATACACTGCTGAGGGAATAGCGGGCTAGTCAGGAGAGGTCTGCTGTGCCATGTGGGTTGCTCCCTAGCCACCCAGGGATTGAACTTATGCTGCAGAGGCTGCAGACAACTTCATAGGCTCTGTCTTACTTAGCCCCTTAAGCCACCAAGGAGGCCCTCAATCTATTTTTTAAATATTTTATTTTTGCATAGAAGAAATGGGGTTTAGGCCAGAAGTGGGGGCCTGAGAGACAGAGTGGGGAGCAGAACAGACGGATTTACTGAAGTACACTACTAAGGGGAGCAGTGGGCAAGACAGGAGAGGTCTGAGCCATGTGGGTTAGCTCTCTGGCTGGGATAAAACCTAGGCAGTCTTGGTGGGCCTTTGTAATGGTAGTGCTGAGTCTTAACCCATCAGGGAGGCCTGAAACTTAATTTTTTTTTTAAAGAAATGTATCTTAGGGGGCCTCACTGGTGGCGAAAGTGGTTAAGATGCAACCTATGAAGCTGTCCGCAGCCATTGTAGCACAAGTTCGATCCCCCAGCCTGCCAAGGAGCAAGCCACATGGCATAGAAGACCTCCTGACTAGCCCGCTGCTCCCCTCAGCAGTGTACTTCAGTCAATTTGCCTGTTCTGTTCCCCACTCTGTCTCTGGTGAATCCTCTCACCCCCCATAGCTCTGGCCTGTGCCCCAGCTCTTATCTGCATAAATAAATAAATCTTAAAATTAAAAAAAGAAATGAATCTTAAAGTTCTCTTCTCTCATTTATCTGGCAGCCATTTCTCCTTAGACTCATTTTTGGCCTGTGTGCTGTTCTCTGTGGTGAATATTGCTTTTCTTGTCTGCATGTTGCTTACACTTTCCTCTGTTACTAATGCTACTTCTACTGACTTTCTTCTTGACTCCTACCCTTAAACACTCCTCAAACACTCTCACAGTTCAATTTTTGGTAACTGTTACTTTGAGAAATAAGACCTCATTCCTGTTTTAAAATTTCAAGTAGCCAGGAGATTTTGGAATTATTAACATTGGTGTTTGATGTGTATTTCATACATGAACTTGTTTAAGCCTTTAAACATTTGTTTTGAGGAAATAGTATTATTAACTCAATTTTACTTGTAATAGAATGGAACAGAGTTTGTGTTGAAGCAATTTCTATATGTCTCTAAAGTCCCTGTTCTCAACTATCACTATATGGACTGATCCTCTGATGATGTAATATAACAGCTATTTCAAATCCCCATGATTTTTTATTTTCATCAAAAGAATTAGGTACTCTCTCACCTAAGTAGGCTTTCAAAAAAATTTGTTTTTTGCAGAAGTGGTCAACTTTTTCTTTTTAAATTGAAGTAACATTGGTTTACAATACTAGATATGTTTCAGAGGTATAGGATCATACCTCTTTGGATGTATGTCACACCCACCCACCCCCAAGGCATCCTCAGTCCTCAACCATTGTCCAGTGAGCCCCCTCCACATCCTGCTCTCCACCTTCCCCTTCTCATAGCCTCAATTCTACAGTCAGATTTCAGACTACAGGTTTGTTACTGGTTTTATTCTATCTGACCATTTGTTTTGTTCTCCATATTCCACATAAAAGTGAAGCCATCTGCTATTTTTCTCCTTCTGACTTATTTCTTTTGTTTCTGATTTTGTTATTCCTTATGTGTTACCTTTTTCAGCACCTTCACTAGTAAATATGTTTGCAGACTCATTTTTGGGCTATGTTATCCTTTTCTCAATCTCAAAGTTTAAGCAACTTGAGTTAACTCTTGTGTACTGAGGGCAGTATGGCCTAGTGAACACTTATTTATTGAAGTGTGATTGAAAAATCTGCACGTATATATTATATACAACTTGATGGGTTTGTAATAATTGTGCATCTGTGAAACCATCATAATTTTAGCCATAAATGTATCTATTACCTCCACAAATTTCTTCCCTTCTACTTTATTACTACCTTTTTCTAATGAAAACATTTATCATAAGATCTGTGCTAATTATTAATCTGTGCAAATTATTAAGTATACAATACCGTTGAACGGAATTCTTTTTTTTAATTTTTGCATAGAAGAACTGGGGTGTAGGCCAGAGGGACCAGGGGTGAGAGGATTCAGCAGAGACAGAGTGGGGAACAGAACAGGTAGATTTACTGAAATACACTGCTAAGAGGAGCAATGGGTGAGACAGGAGAGGTGTGCTGTGCTATATGTGGATTAGCTCTCTAGCCAGGGAGGGAACTCAGGCCTCAGCAGTGATAGTGCTGAGACTTAACCCCTATGCCACCAGGGGGGGTGCTGAACAAAATTCTTGACTGGGAATCACAAAAGACAAGTTCTGGCTTTCTTACCAATAGCATCAACATTAAGATCTCAATTTGTATTGAGTACTTACTATCTGCCAGGCACTGATTTTTTTTTAAATAATCTGCAGTCTTTAAGTAATTTTTTAAAAAAGATTTATTTATTTTTATACAAGAACCGGGGTACAGGCCAGAGGCACAGGAGGATGAGAGGATTCACCAGCGACAGAGCAGGGAGCAGAACAGGCAGACTGACTGAAACATACTGCTGAGGGGAGTGGTGGTTGTGATAGGAGAGGTCTGCCGTGCCATGTGGGAATCTCCCTGGCTGGCCGGGAGTTGAACCCACACTGCAGAGGCTGCAGACAGCTTCACAGAGCTGCTCTCAACTCCCTGCGCCACTGGGGAGACCCCTATCCGCCAGGCACTGATTTAAATTCTTTGTGGATACTTGAGACAATTTGACAAAGAAGACATTATTATTGCCAAATTATGCATTAAGAACCCAAGGCCCAGAGAGATGGTTTGCACAGGTAACAAGTAATAAACATTTATCTAACAGTTTTACCAAATCATTTCATATCTATGGACTTGGATTATCATTAGTAACACTGATAATCTTCAGTAAATGATTTCTAAACTCCTTTCTATTTCTAAAATTTACTGGTATTTTCCCTATTGATCTTATTTTAATATTCTGCAATTAGGGAAACTGTCTGTTTCATCTCTATTCATTTACATTTTCTTCCTTTGACTTTTTTCTTTTCTGAGGTTTAGGACTAAATCGCACAACTTTACCCATGGAGTTACCTATTTTATCATCAGAACCCCGAAGTCAGTAAATCCTTAAGTAATATTAACATTTTTCTTTCTGAAACTGCTAGCAGCAAGTGTGGTTGGTCCATAGTAGAGTCTAAGGAAATATATTTATGTTACTTATTTATGTTACTTATAGGTATGTTACTTATTTATGTTTATGTGCTTATTCTTTGTATCTTGTTTTGTTCACTGAAATAAATTTACTGACGATTTTCTGCTGACAGTTGAGTTGGGAATAGAGCAATAATTAGATCTATTTTGCCAAAAGTTAATTTTGAACTGCCCAAACTACAACCCATTTTTCATTTTGAGTATAACCTCCAAAAGGAAACTGCGTGCAGTGCTTTCTTCATATTTCAGCATTTTGTGCACCCTGAGCATTTGGGAATCTTGCTGCCTTTATTCACTTTTGTAGATGGAAGCATTAATCTCTTTTGAGCACATACCCAGTTAACTTTGCACATATGAATATTGTACAATTTGTCACAAGGTTTACAGGGAAACAAGGAAAAGGCATGAGATGGAAGTGAAGACTTTAGGGTGCTATCTATCATTATTTTAATATTCTACTAATTATTGATATTAAAGAAAAGCAAACTATTTAAAATTCCAATTTTAAAGAGAGTGAGGGGAAGCAACAGCCAAAGAGCTCATTTTCCTTAGAACAATAGTTATATGTTCATGTAAATTATTAGTAGTCTACAGTGTTTTTGTGTGATATTTCATCTTTCCATTTTTATCTCCCCTTTATGACTGTCACTCACTGACAATACAATTATTAATTTTAAAGGTATGCTTGTTCAGCATTTTTTATTCCTGCTCTTTAGTTTTTATGAACTGAAAAGTTTTAAAATAAAATTCATATTTGATTTCATTAAGCCCTTGTGTCACGTAAAGTCTCTTTGTTTCATATCTTCACAGATTAAAGTATTAATGAATAAACACGAAACTCCAGAATGTAATTTCTCAGTGTATTTTTAAAGGTGACAGCTTTTAAGGTAATTAATTATTTTAACTGAATAGCCAGAGCCATGCAAAATTTTTGTTCCTCATACTTTATATGATAGTTTTATAATACCTATTCTTAACAATTCATTGGATCTAACTAATCAATCTATTAAGATAGGATTTTAATTATTTTATAAAATCACATCTTAAGGTTAACTTCACTAATGATTAGTATCCAGTGCTGCCATTTTATCTTGCAGGAGTCATCCTTCAATTCCAAAAGTTATCGAAAAGATATCTAATGAGAAATAGAACATCAATTATTTTCCACTATTCACTCCAAAGCAGTGAAATTTGAGGATATTTGAAAAAATTTGAGCCTTTCCTGGTGGCGCAGGCAATTGAGCGCTGTGCTGTGAAGCTGTCCCCAGCCTCTGCAGCCCAGATTTGATTCCCTGTCTGGTCAAGGAGATACCCTCATGGCGCAGCAGACCTCTCCTGCCACGCCCGCTGCTCCCCTCAGCAGTATATTTCGTCATTCTGCCTGTTCTGTTCCCACTCTGTCTCTGGTGAATCCTCTCACCCTCCCGTGCCTCTGGCCTGTACCCAGGTTCTTGTATAAATAAAAAAATCAATAAATCTTTTTAAAAAAAGAAAAAAAAGAAAAAATTCAAGCTGGTCTTAGTGAGGAATGTGAAAGAAAAGGATGTAAAGAAGGGAGAATAGATGGAGGGAGGGAGGGAGGGAGGGCAAAATGATGATGAGTGATGAATCCTAAGAATAATCCCTAGAGGAGGGACTACTTTATCTTCTTGTCCAATTTGGGGGCAATATCAGCATTGATTATAAAGAAGACCCCGGCAAGCTATGGCACAATAATGATAGAGTGATGGTTTGGATTTTTCATTTTTTATGGACAAGTTGATGATATTGCAGTTACTTACCTCTGGCCTAAAGATATTGTATTTACTTGATAATACAATATTTTTCTTTTTCTATTCTGCTTCTACTTTATATCCATAATGGCTCTTTATGAATTAATATGCAATATTGATATCAGAATTACTTAGGATGACCTGCACGCCCCCCACACACGCCCCCATGCACATACACGTATTTCACCACATCCCCCCCTTGTTTTTGTAATTGAATTATATGAATATTAAGAGGCATTAGAGATTATTTAGTGTATATTTTTCACTCCATAAGATTATTTAGTGTATATCTTTCACTCCATAAGCTTAAATATATATATATATATATATATACTCTCACACACATACATATATAAATAAATAAATAAAATAAGTTAACTAATTTGCTCAAGGTTATGGATTAATCATGATCATTTATACACACACACATGCACACACAGATGTGCAGAGATAACATGTCAAAATTGTGATATATAGATTTTTTTTACTCTTAGAAAATTGAAAAATGAATATTCCCAATTATTCAGGATTCTTATGGGGAAAGGAAAGTTAAAATATTTAAAGAGAGGAAGGAGAACCATATAGTATAAGGAATTTCAGACCTATTTGAGTAAACTCTGAAATAGCAATTTTATATATACATTTCATTTAAGATTCATGATATTCCTACATGGTAGATATCATTTCCAACTAATAAATGACAGAATTGTTTTTCCAAGGGATTAAGAATCTTGTCAAATTAATAAAACAAGGGTTTAAGTTCAGGCTTCCTCAGTTGAGAGCCTAATTTTTGTTTATTTAATAAAATCTTTAGAATTTGAAGCATAGATAATAATGTTTTATGTTGGTATACTGCTTTTATATTTCCCCACAATTCTTTATGCCCCACCAGTCATTTATTTAAATGTATTTATTGAGATTTATTACTGGTAGCCTCTATGCTAAGTGCAGAGGTAGATAAAGACCTTCTGTTCCTGAGAGCTTACCATATGGTCTGTTATTCAGGCAACTACGACAGTATGTCATGAGAGAGATATAAGTGACACAATAATGCAAGGGTGGGAACAATCACTTCTTGTTTTCAAATCATCAGAGATTTTCATGGAAGATATGGTCTTCTTTCTTTCCCAAAGGACTGTGATTTATTAGGGAACTGATGTTCCATGAGATGGAACAGAATGTGTGAATGGACAGGGTTTCAAAATAGAGGACATGTTTCAGGAGCTTTAAGGAATACAATCTGATCAAAGTGTTCCTACTGTGAAAAGTTCTGCATAGATAAGTGCAGACCATTTTCCAGAAACCTTTGATGCCAGAAACCATGATAAGAATTTTCAATTTTATTCAGTAGATAATGCAAAGTCACAGAAAATTGTTGAGAAATTGTATCACGTAATCAAGATTGGTTTAACACTATTTGTACCAAACTGATCCAGTGCTTTGAGCCTTGGTTTCTTCATCCATAAAATAGGGAATAAAATGCTTTGTATGTCACATCTTGCTTGCTACAATAATTCTCTGTAACAAACTTCCCCAAACTTGGTTTCTTATAATCATAAGCATTTGTTTTCAAGCCCACAATATGTGGATAGACTGTGTATCTCATCTGATTTAGCAGGAACTCAATGGAGCAACTCTCAGTTTCCTGGTGGGATTGAGGTTCTCTTACGTGTGTTTGCTTTGGAGCCCAGACTAAATGACAATTTTTAACAATGAAATTTCTGGGAAACAGATTCTGAGATGGATAAATACATGCAAGAAATACGTTGGGAATGTTAATAGACTTAATATCTGTGGGAGTAAGTGGGAAAGAAGATTGGGTAGGAGGAAGAGTAGAACTCAATGGCGTCACAACAAAGACCTTAGCTAATTCCACAAGATTCTCAGAGTAGTTACGCTTGCATGGATATTGATGATGGTTCAGTTACTGTGTCCAGTAAGTTCTTGAAATATATGGGTATTATTCTGCATTTCCAAATATACAGATCCAATTATAAATCCCTTTTAAGAGAGAATTGGGAAAATTATTCCAATATTCTTTATGAGGTTGCCATGTCCTTCCTACTGGTGAATTTAGTATTTATTATTAGGTGCAAAATCTGGTTTAGATTTGGAACTAGGGGGAAAATTTATCAAATGACATTATTTGGGGGCCAACTGCTCTCTGACTCCAATCTTCCTCTCTTGATTGCTTCTGTTTATACAGATTGAGCAGTACCAATAGTGGATCCCTCTTTATTTTACTCAAGTGAAATCTCTGTTTTATGGACTTTATCCATAATTCTCAATGGATCAGGCTCCCCTGAAAACCTTTTCCATTTTGCTGCTCACATGGATAACTGCACTCATCTTGCTTCTGACAACTAATTACTGCCACCTTCCCTCTAATCTAGTAATTCTTTTATATTTACTGTTCCTAGTGGTCTGGCTGAGTAATGGCATTGTTCATCATGAAACATAATCTATAAAAGTCAAAACTGATTATAGTGAAGATGGACTCTTTCCTCAGCACATTTCTTGTTGCTTCTTATTGTGCTCTAACATGTTTTCTGGTCTTTATTGACATAACTCACCTTAACACTCTTACTTTTCTGAGCATTTTATTTTTTCGTTCCACTATTTGCCATGACAATTTTAGATTTCTACTTTTTTGAGGATCAAGACTTTTTTCACCTAGGAGGTACTTCTCAGCATGCCTGTACCATATCTGAAAGATATTTTTTTAAAGATTTATTTATTTATACAAGCACTGGGTACACTCAGAAGTGTGGCAGGGTAAGAGAATTCACCAGAGCCAGAGCAGGGACCAGAACAGGCAGACTGACAAAATACACTGCTGAGGGGAGCAGCGGGCATGGCAGGAGAGGTCTGCGTTCCATGTGGGACCCTCGCCGGTGGCCAGGGATTGAACTGGCGCTGTAGAGGCTGCAGGCAGCTTAGCAGCACAGTGCTCAACCACTGCGCCACCAGGGTGGGTCCCATGTCTGAAAGATTTTACAGACATATTAAATAATTTGTCCTGGTATGTAGTTAATATACTCTCTTTTCTGCAAGTAGTATAATCAACAATTGTTGGTCCAGCACCTTGACAATCCAGCTCATGTGGAAACATATTGGCTATCTCCTATGGAAGCATGTTGGTTAAATACTGTAGTTCCTTCTTGGTATACTCTTTTATGTTGTTTTTCAGACTCAGTTTCTCCAGTTGGGTTGTGTATATGTCTGTGTGTATGTGTATACGTATATGTATGTGTGTGTGTGTATATATACATATATATTTTTTTAAGGATGACTTTATTAGGAAAAGGATAAAGAAAAAGAAAGGCACTTGCATAGTAGGTAGGAGACTGTGGTAGGAAATCTTGGTGGCTTATATTTTAACTTAACATTAGTAACCAAGAGAATAGAAGGAACATAGCAGATCCTGGGAAGGGTTTGGTACATTTTGTCTTATAAGGAAGAGTTTTCTGAATAATCTTCAATAAAGACAGGAGGGAAGGAGAGAGCAAGAGCAAGATCACTCTTAATAAGGAGGTAAGGAGTGAAGTACTTTTGCAAGCTCATATGGTTCATAAGAATATGAGCTTTTAAGATATCGAGGTGAAACAATCCATATGTCTTATAATTATCCCATGTGTCAGGATGCCATTCTTTCCCTATTATCACCTTGACTTCCATCTTTTATGGAATTTCAGATTTCTCTATTGCTTGCCTACTGTTACCATTAATTCCTATGATTTATCAACATTTTCTGACAACCTACTATAGGAGATGAGAATCCTGTTGCCTTCATATTTCGCTTTTAATAGTCCATTAAGCTACCAGATTTTTAATTTTCTTCTCTACAGAGCATAAATCAAACTTCGTTATAGCCACTGAGTTCCATTTTCAAATCAGTTACTATTTTTCTGAATATTCCTCAAACATCTGATACTTTGTGACAGTGAATGTAGCTGTTTTACCAATCAATTTCATCACCAAAGAAAGTTGTAACAGTCCTGCAATCATAGTCTAATATCATTCTATGTTCTACATACTACCATTCATAGGCTATTCACTTCCAAAATTCCATTTTAGTTACTTGGACCACTCGTGGTGTCAGTTACCACATTCTC